GTGTTGTACCTTTGAACAGTGCCTAGCACACAGTTTTAGCTATTGTTACGGTTACTTTAGTGATAGCTTCTCTACTCGAATTGGGGATAAGAAATGCAGTTGTTAAATCCCTAAAAGAAAGACAAGGAAAAACATCAGTCACAGAGAAGGGGGGTACATCTCTGATAAATAAACACACATATAAGGGACTTTTGAAGTGAGAGCTGAGCTTGCAGGAAAAGAATCACGATGCTTTCTACTTAGCCTTGTTGAGAACAGAATTAAGTAAAATTGTAAGCGAGTAAGGTGAGAGCTGGACTAGAGGGAGCTTAATTTGTGCCTCTTGCTGCATTCTGTCTGACCCTGCTCTTGCGGTGCTCACCGTGGGTGACACATGGAGATTGAAGGGCAGTCCCTACTCGCACTTGACACCGGTCCTTTGGGGCTGTCTTCGATCTTCCACCTGCCTTGGTGCCTCTCCCTGTTTGATCTGCTGACACAGTTAGCCACTGCTGTGTAGGCACGTGCAGCTCGGGAGACGCGACGAGGGCCAGTCACATCCAACACAGGCTACGGCCGTGCATGTCTCTGGGCCTCCTGCCTGCCGTCTTGCACAAGACATGGGAGTTCAAAGGCGTTTGGCCAGTCATCCTCTCCATCTCTGCTAAGGTGCTCTCCCGCCCCTTCGGGACCTCTCAGAACTGCCCGTTTCCTCTGCAGTTGCCTCCTTCTGCAGTGTGCTGGCCTGTGGTCTCCCTGCAGCCCCCAGCCTTCCCCGCCATCCGTCTCATGGCAACTATTATTTGGGGATTTCTCAATTCTGATTGAGGCACAAGTGAGCAATCCTGCTTTCAAAAACCTCCTCTCCTTTCCCCCTGCTCTCTTTCGGCTCTTTGCCCATCCTTCCTACCCCTATCATTTTGAGTTAATTTTAGGTGGGAGGGCCATATCAGCATATATACTTAGTTTACCATCTTAATCTAATTTCCTTTTTTAAAAAAACTTAACTTTTAGACTCCTGGTCCCGATAGCCTTATGAGTTCACATAGAAATGTTCTCCTGCCAACTCCAAACTCATAGCAGGGACAGATAAAATATTTAAAAATATTAAAATCATGTCATCATACTCAAAAACCAACATATAACTTCAGGGGCCAGCAGTCTGCTGGGGCTGAAGCAGCATATGTACTGGGCTTTGGAATCAAGCACAGGTTCTCGGAGGTGGTTGGGCTCTTGCAGGTCAGTAAGCGTCCTGACATATGGTTGAGGCCTGGAGCCAGGCTCACCACGGGAAGCTGATTTGGGTGAGGTTCCTTCATGAATGAAAGCTTCAGAAAGGGCTTTTGACTGCCAACATTGACCTAATATCTGTGTTCATAAGAGGGAGTAGAGACATTGGGTGTTGGGAAGACCAGAATCTAGGCTTCAGTGATGGAGAGGTCAACCTAAACCAGTCACGTAAAGGTTGTCACCAGGGAGGAAAAACAAGCAACCACTTAAACCACAAAATCAACACCCCTAATGAAGATGCACTTGCAAGCTAACAAGTGGAGAGCAGGAGGGAGACCCTCATCAGAGGCAAAGCAACAAACTCCAAAAGTGGGAGAGTCTGATGAAATGTGAAGCGAGATGAATTTTAAAACAATTACACTTAGAATCATTCAGGAGATTAAGTAATAAAATGTGAACAAACAAGCAGATGTAAAACTGTTACAAATCCAAAAAATGAAAAATATAATCAGCAAAAAATCTTTTAACAGATTGCAGAAGAACTATGTGCATGTTTTAGAAAGTAGTGATGAGGCAAAAGATCAATACAGAAATCATCCATAATATCCCGCAATATCCTGCAAGTAGCATTTTCAGTATATATTCTTCCTACCTTTTTTTTTGGCAGCTAACTCTGGACCTTGGTATTACCAGCACCACGCTCTAATCAAGTGGGCTTACTAGCCAGCCCTCTTCCTACTTTTTATGCATATAGGTTTTTTGTATGAATATGGAATATATACTCCAGACTTCCCGTAACTTTTGCATTAACATGAACATTTTCTTATCAGTAAGTCTTCTGTACCCTTAAATCTATACAGTATTGCACATGGGTGTATTATAATTCATTTGAGCAATGTGCTATTTCATAGCTGTTTTCAACATGCTGTAGTGAGCATCTTTAAATTTTTTATTAAGTCATTTTTTCTGATTATAAAAGTAAAAATATAGAAAGTATATAGAAGCATAAAGAAGAAAAACAAAGGTTACTAATCTCACCATGCAAAAATAAATTTTGTGTATATAACTGTGTGTGTGTGTATAACTGTGTTTGTACATAACAACCATTATATTGTACATGTTGTTTTGTAACTTCCTCCTTTTCACTGAACATTGCAGACAGTTTTCCTTGTAAAATATACATCTATGTTACCTATAGGGTGTAAAATTGTCATTGGAAGACTGTGCACAAATAACTCAATAATCCCCATTGTATGACAGTAAGTTGTTTTTATTTCACTATTATGAACAATTCTGTCAATGTTATGACATTATCATCACATTATAAGTAACGTTAAGGTTTTGTTCTCAATACACTGTTCATTTTTCAACAGGTGTTTGCTTATGATCATTGTTTCTGGTCTATGGATGAGTCTGTCAGAGAAAAGTATGCAGGTAATAGAGTACAGGTGTTTCAGTATATTTTCCATACACTATCATAGTATTATTTTGTGTAGCTTTAAGAACTGGACAATTTCCTCCAGTGTTTGCAATGAGAGTTTTTACATGGATTGGAAAAGGGGAGATTCACAGGGTGCTGTCCTTGGTATAAGACGATGAAGTTGTATGTCTAGGGTACACTGCGGAGGTTACCTGGAAGTCTGTAACTCTGTTATTCTCCTAAAGGGTGACTACCTCAAGACCCACTTCACCACACGTTGAGGACGGCAGTGACAGCCCTTTTGTTTCCTTTATTCCCGACTGCTTGTGGCACCAGTTTCTAAACAGTCCCTTTTAAATACTGAGTTTCACATTGTGTTAGCTTCTATTATGAGAACGATTAATACCACGGCTGTTTCAAAAGCTAACGTTCATTTGGGCCAGCTGGCTCAGTGATGACTTTAAGGATCTCCCCAGTATCAGAAGTTTGATAATTAATTGGTGAATTCACCAGGAAGTGAGACAAAATGGAATGCCATTGCCAAAGCATAACAGCGCCCAGTTCTTCCACATTGTAGTTGAGATTCTGAGGTTGGATGACACGTCAGGTTCACACCTGATTATTGACTTTTGACGTACCTCATTTGGCCTGTGGAGGAGAACTTGACTCTAATACTTATGTTCATGATTGAAAGCCCAAGGAAATGTCTGGCGTCTTGTTCGCTGACATAACTGGTGTGTATTGTAGATCCTGTAACTGGAAGCTGTTCCTGGGGAAAGGGGGAGACTGTAGATTGGTATACGTGAGTGTTCTGAACTCCAGTACTCTACACCTAGGTCCCAAGTATATAAATCTCAGATATCTGTAATCATTGACTGTAAAATAAGCAGCTCATTGGCTGTCTGCATTGCAGGGGATTATTGGTCAGTGTTTATTTATTCAAGTGTATTATAGGGAACTTTTTACTGATTTTCCCTCATGAGCTAACTAGAAATAATCTGAAGAGCATAACCCTTTGGGAGAATTCATCAAGTTTAAAAATCTTGCTTGGAGTTAAATAAGCTGATTGTACATTTTTGAGATTTTTGTTTGTTTTCTGTTTTTTTGAATTGTTTGTATGTAGTTTTGGCTTGAAACATTGTTCTTTTCTCTCTCCCTCTCTTTCAGGTCAGGATGATGTTTTCAAGTGCCTTGGGGAAAATATCCTTCAGAATGCTTTTGATGGCTACAACGCATGTATCTTTGCCTATGGACAGACTGGTAATGTTAAGTAGTATGAAATCACGTAAGCAAATATCTTTCAGTGGAAGAGAAAATAGAACTATGTTTACTGAGTCACATATTGTTGATTTATTCTTTGTTATTTTCCTTTTCAGGGAGTATTATATAGTTGATGAAATTAGGTAATAATATGTTTTTTTAATGGGCATGCGAAAATTTGGGTTAGATCCTTTTTCTTTACTGATCTCACAAGGCATTGGTAGAGATTTTTTTTTTTTAAATATGTTACAGAGCTGTGACTGTTGAACATATTACTAGCTGTGTTTATATATCATGTTTTTTGGGGGGCGGTTTTAGGCTTTAAGAATCATAAGAGAGAAAATACCTCAAAGAACATTCTTGTTAATATCTTACCAGTTATAATTGAGAAGGAGCTTTCTGGTTTCTGTACCTCTGTGATTAAGGAAAGAAAATCTTTTAAAAGTGAATTAGGTAGTTTTATAGGAGTATATTATATAGCTTGTCCAACTGGAAACCATTCTTCACAGAAAAGTGTTTGTGATATTTTCAGGAAACATCATGTGTAGTGGTTAAAAGAGCAGAAATTCTGGAGCCAGCCTGGGCCAACTCCAACCCTGCTCCTGCTACTCGCCCGCTGGGAAATTTGGGCAAATTACTTAACCTCTGTGCCCCTCAGTTTCCTTATCTGTANAAACTGTTACAAATCCAAAAAATGAAAAATATAATCAGCAAAAAATCTTTTAACAGATTGCGGAAGAACTATGTGCATGTTTTAGAAAGTAGTGATGAGGCAAAAGATCAATACAGAAATCATCCATAATATCTCACAATATCCTGCAAGTAGCATTTTCAGTATATATTCTTCCTACCTTTTTTTTTGGCAGCTAACTCTGGACCTTGGTGTTACCAGCACCACGCTCTAACCAAGTGGGCTTACTAGCCAGCCCTCTTCCTACTTTTTTATGCATATAGGTTTTTGGTATGAATATGGAATATATACTCCAGACTTCCATAACTTTTTCATTAACATGAACATTTTCTTATCAGTAAGTCTTCTGTACCCTTAAATCTATACGGTATTGCACATGGGTGTATTATAATTCATTTGAGCAATGTGCTATTTCATAGCTGTTCTCAACATGCTGTAGTTAAATTTTTTATTATTTAAATTTTTATTGTCATTTTATTATTTAAATTTTTTAAGTCATTTTTTCTGATTATAAAAGTAAAAATGTAGAAAGTATATAGAAGCATAAAGAAGAAAAACAAAGGTTACAAATCTCACCATGCAAAAATAAATTTTGTATATATAACTCTGTGTGTGTGTATAATTGTGTTTGTACATAACAACCACTATATTGTACATGTTGTTTTGTAACTTCCTCCTTTTCACTGAACATTGCAGATAGTTTTCCTTGTAAAATATAGATCTATATTACCTATAGGGTGTAAAATTGTCATTGGAAGACTGTGCACAAATAACTCAATAATCCCCATTGTATGACAGTAAGTTGTTTTTATTTCACTATTATGAACAATTCTGTCAATGTTATGACATTATCATCACATTATAAGTAACGTTAAGGTTTTGTTCTCAATACACTGTTCATTTTTCAACAGGTGTTTGCTTATGATCATTGTTTCTGGTCTATGGATGAGTCTGTCAGAGAAAAGTATGCAGGTAATAGAGTACAGGTGTTTCAGTATATTTTCCATACACTATCATAGTATTATTTTGTGTAGCTTTAAGAACTGGACAATTTCCTCCAGTGTTTGCAATGAGAGTTTTTACATGGATTGGAAAAGGGGAGATTCACAGGGTGCTGTCCTTGGTATAAGACGATGAAGTTGTATGTCTAGGGTACACTGCGGAGGTTACCTGGAAGTCTGTAACTCTGTTATTCTCCTAAAGGGTGACTACCTCAAGCCCCACTTCACCACACGTTGAGGACGGCAGTGACAGCCCTTTTGTTTCCTTTATTCCCGACTGCTTGTGGCACCAGTTTCTAAACAGTCCCTTTTAAATACTGAGTTTCACATTGTGTTAGCTTCTATTATGAGAACGATTAATACCACGGCTGTTTCAAAAGCTAACGTTCATTTGGGCCAGCTGGCTCAGTGATGACTTTAAGGATCTCCCCAGTATCAGAAGTTTGATAATTAATTGGTGAATTCACCAGGAAGTGAGACAAAATGGAATGCCATTGCCAAAGCATAACAGCGCCCAGTTCTTCCACATTGTAGTTGAGATTCTGAGGTTGGATGACACGTCAGGTTCACACCTGATTATTGACTTTTGACGTACCTCATTTGGCCTGTGGAGGAGAACTTGACTCTAATACTTATGTTCATGATTGAAAGCCCAAGGAAATGTCTGGCGTCTTGTTCGCTGACATAACTGGTGTGTATTGTAGATCCTGTAACTGGAAGCTGTTCCTGGGGAAAGGGGGAGACTGTAGATTGGTATACGTGAGTGTTCTGAACTCCAGTACTCTACACCTAGGTCCCAAGTATATAAATCTCAGATATCTGTAATCATTGACTGTAAAATAAGCAGCTCATTGGCTGTCTGCATTGCAGGGGATTATTGGTCAGTGTTTGTTTATTCAAGTGTATTATAGGGAACTTTTTACTGATTTTCCCTCATGAGCTAACTAGAAATAATCTGAAGAGCATAACCCTTTGGGAGAATTCATCAAGTTTAAAAATCTTGCTTGGAGTTAAATAAGCTGATTGTACATTTTTGAGATTTTTCTTTGTTTTCTGTTTTTTTGAATTGTTTGTATGTAGTTTTGGCTTGAAATATTGTTCTTTTCTCTCTCCCTCTCTTTCAGGTCAGGATGATGTTTTCAAGTGCCTTGGGGAAAATATCCTTCAGAATGCTTTTGATGGCTACAACGCATGTATCTTTGCCTATGGACAGACTGGTAATGTTAAGTAGTATGAAATCACGTAAGCAAATATCTTTCAGTGGAAGAGAAAATAGAACTATGTTTATTGAGTCACATATTGTTGATTTATTCTTTGTTATTTTCCTTTTCGGGGAGTATTATATAGTTGATGAAATTAGGTAATAATATGTTTTTTTAATGGGCATGCGAAAATTTGGGTTAGGATCCTTTTTCTTTACTGATCTCACAAGGCATTGGTAGAGATTTTTTTTTTTTAAATACATTACAGAGCTGCGACTGTTGAACATATTACTAGCTGTGTTTATATATCATGTTTTTTGGGGGGTGGTTTTAGGCTTTAAGAATCATAAGAGAGAAAATACCGCAAAGAACATTCTTGTTAATGTCTTACCAGTTATAATTGATAAGGAGCTTTCTGGTTTCTGTACCTCTGTGATTAAGGAAAGAAAATCTTTTAAAGGTGAATTAGGTAGTTTTATAGGAGTATATTATATAGCTTGTCCGACTGGAAACCATTCTTCACAGAAAAGTGTTTATGATATTTTCAAGAAACATCATGTGTAGTGGTTAAAAGAGCAGAAATTCTGGAGCCAGCCTGGGCCAACTCCAACCCTGCTCCTGCTACTTGCCCGCTGGGAAATTTGGGCAAATTACTTAACCTCTGTGCCCCTCAGTTTCCTTATCTGTA